TTTCTTCATTTTTTTCAATGTCTTATAATTATTATCGATTACGGGATTTTGCGAAGTACAAAAAGAATGTTCTCACTGTCCTACAACTCACTGCAGTATCGCTCTTCAGGCATAATGGAAGACATTGCGGTTACCAAATTCAGGGAGTACCTTCGAGTAAACACGGAACAGCCCAATCCAGATTACGGTAAGTTCATATACATTTTTTGACAGTGTCTGCTTATACCGTACTCCTGTTTTTTGTCCTTTTCTGTTTGCCGAATTCGAGATCAATTATGATAAGAAGAGCATTTCAGCTGCATGTCAGAACTTCCTCTTCAATCTGGCGGATGAGCTCGGCATCGAACGGCGTGCAGTTGAGGCGAGTGATCGATTACGACAACACTTTTTTCCCGGCTAAAAAAAATTCTAAAAAGAGCAGCAGTGCGGCGGTAGTAATAGATCCAAAGGGGTTGCTGTCCCCGCTATATGCCTTTACCAGATACCTGGGTGCCGTAAGAGACCCCACCCGCGCTACCGCATTGTCTGCCACAAGCTTATCCATGATCACGCGCGCTGCTTCCCTGCACCCTCACACTTCCGCTTGCTCTCTACCGCTAGGTGCGTGCTTCGCTGCGGCATCTTGGTATAGACAGAAGTGCTGGTCCTTGAGAATAGTCAACGGGGCATCCGTGCATCAATGCCTTCCAGCACTGTTCCCGTGTACTTTTAAGCGGAGAAAGTGGCACGCTGCAGCAGCTGCGGGAATCATTCACCTCGCACGTGATAGGCATCGTCCACGAAACGCGGTGTACAATCTGCCTTCAAACCGGCTCTGACTGCGGTTACCCATTAAGAGCAGTAAGAGTAAACGGATGGGTGGTGAAATCGTTTCATAGACATGGGGTCTGTCGGTGGGTTGAGTACCCATTTTGAAGAATAGACAACGATTCCTGATTTTGAATCCTTTGCCTGTAGTGAAACAATATAGAAAAAGCAACAGAGTAAAAGCCAACATTAAAAAAGAAAAGGAAATGGATAGGTCACCTTCAGTGAAGTTGGTTACACAACATAGACCGATATGAGCATTCATTTGTGCCCTATCCTTCCAGAAATCAATCCAAGCGGATAGTACCTTGAACAGGGCACATCATTGGTTGGGGAATTTTAGTCGAGTCCGTACGACATCCCCCCCCCCCCCTCCGGCCCTCTGTCCCTCCTCATCGAATCGAGCCGTCGAGCGGGGGGGGGGGGACATATAGTACGCATGAAACAGGAAAATCACGAAAAGTCAACCACCTTTCCTAGAAGACCAGAAGTATGTAACTACGAGCCCCCTCCCAACAATTAAGCTAAATACGACCCCCTGTTGGGGACTTCCCAACAACGATGTGCGCTGATCTCGAAGTCACACTTGGCTCTGATTGTGAGAGCCAGACAACCATTGACATATCTTGCCCGGGCGGCAATCGGTGAAGGGAGAGGCACAGGATTGGAAAAGCACCATTGTCGATTTGCTTTCGCTTCGGTTCCGGTCTTTTCGTGCTTTCAAAGAGGGCGAATTTTGTGTAGGTAATGCAGACTTGATGATAAATCCCTTTTCACCCCTCATCACAATTACAAACTGTGTTAATCTTGCAGACTGTGCCAGGCAAACCATTTATCATCATGACGATTCCTGGTACTCAGCCTGAGCTCAAGTCTCTGATGCTCTATTCTCATACAGATGTCGTGCCAACATTCAAGGTAAGTTGCCTGTCACTTCTACATTGTGAGAACGGAATTTAACTCAGCTTTGACACAGTCAGGTAAAAGCTGGACAGGCGAAGTCCGACGGTCAGTAACTCATACATAAC